GGCTTTGCTCTTCGTGGTCAGTGGGACTCAAACAAACACAGATGCAGAAGTTTGATGGGACTTGTTGTCAGCTTTCCCCCTCGCAGAAGAAACACTCAGACACTGATGGTCCAAGGCTTCTCCTGATGGTCCCTAAAGACTTTAGCCATCGCTGCTATTAACGCAAAACCAAACTCTGTGAAATCAGAGCGGATCTATAATAAGAACATATGGATCTATAATAATAACATATGGATCTATAATAATAACATATGGATCTATAATAATAACATATGGATCTATAATAATAACTTATGGATCTATAATAATAACATATGGACAGAACTAAGACCAATCTGTTGGCACCGGCGGCACGGTGGCTGAGTGGTTAGCACTCTCGCTTCTCAGCAAGAAGGTTCTGGGTTCCAATCCAGGTCAGAACAAGGCCTTTCTGAGTGGAGTTTGCATGTTCTCCCTGTGTCTGCGTAGGTTTCCTCCGGGTACTCCGGTTTCCCCTACCACTAAAAACGTGTACAATAGGTCTGTGCCTCCTGTACTGGCCCCTCTCATCTCTGTGTGGAGTCAGAGACTAATGTAAAGCTCTTTGAAAGGCCGGCGCTATATAAATAAACATTACTTACACTTTGAAACTGTATTTTGTATGTCCCTGTTTTTATCCTGAAAGGATTCAGGTTAGCTTTAGCAGTAGCATCCGAGTAGCACCGACTCAAACGACTTGCTTCAAATACTGTGGATACCTGCTCCTGGGGTCGCCCAAGACCCTCTTCAAGGCCGAGCTCGGAACATTCACAATGTTCTTTCTTTCATTTCCCTTTTCTTTCTCTGCAGTCGGGAAACCCTTTTATTATCTTTTCTACGTAGATTCATGTTTAAAACTCTGCTGTAATTCTTTGTTTGACTGTTTAGTTGTCATCTTTCTTTGTTTTATTACAACTGGGCTTTGTGTTTTGTTTATGGTGGTGCCCCCTATGGGTCAGTACATGTAAGCAGCAGGCGTACCTGTGCTTCTCTATGTGCCATTTTTCCAGCGGTATGGTTGGAAACATAATCTGTAAAAGTATAAATGTTTTTCAGCTTTTCAGGGTTTGAACATCCATCAATCCATCCATTTTCTTCCGCTTCCTCCGTTGCCGGGTCGCGGGGGCAGCAGTCTAAGCAGAGACGCCCAGACTTCCCTATCCACACACACTTCCTCCAGATTGTCCGGGGGGACCCCAAGGTGTTCCCAGCTGAGAGACATACTCCTTCCAGCGTGTCCTGGGTCTTCCCCGGGGCCTCCTCCCGGTGGGACTGTGCCCGGAACACCTCCCCAGGGAGGAATCCAGGAGGCATCCGGAACAGATGCCCGAGCCACCTCAACTGGTTCCTCTCGATGTGGAGAAACATCGGCTCTACTCCGAGCTCCTCCCGTGTGACTGAGCTCCTCACCCTATCTCTAAGGGAGCAGCCACTCTGCGGAGGAAGCTCATTTCGACCGCTTGTATCCGCGATCTTGTTCTTTCGGTCATAACCCAAAGCTCATGACCATAGGTGAGGGAGGGAACGAAGATTGACCGGTAAATCGAGAGCTTTGCCTTTCGGCTCAGCTCCCTCTTCACCACAACGGTCCGATACAGCGACCGCATCACTGCGCATGCTGCACCGATCCGCCTGTCAATCTCACGCTCCATTCTTCCCTCACTCGTGAACAAAACCCCGAGATACTTGAACTCCTCCACTTGAGGAAGGACCTCTCCACCCACCTGGAGAGGGCAAGGCACCTTTTTCCGGTCCAGCACCATGGCCTCGGATTTGGAGGTGCTGATTCTCATCCCAGCCGCTTCACACTCGGCTGCAAACCGCTCCAGTGCATGCTGCAGGTCCTAGCTCGTTGGAGCCAACAGGACAACATTGTCCGCGAACAGCAGAGATGAAATCCTGTGGTCCCCGAACCGGAACCCCTCCGGCCCCTGGCTGCGCCTAGAAATTCTGTCCATAAACACAGTGAACAGAACCGGTGACAAAGGGCAGCCTTGGTGGAGGCCAACATGCACCGGGAACAGGTCTGACTTACTGCTGATGCGAACACAGCTCTGGCTCCGGTCATACATGGACCGGACGGTCCCTCAGAGGACCCCGGACCCTGTACTCCCGGGGGAATCCCCCAAAGGACACCCTGGGGAACACGGTCGAACGCCTTCTCCAAATCCACAAAGCACATGTGGACAGGTTGGGCGAACTCCCATGAACCCTCGAGTCTCCGATGGAGAGTGTAGAGCTGGTCCAGTGTTCCACGGACCACTGGACCAGCTCTATACTCTCCATCGATTTTTTTCTGTAAAAGTATAAATGTTTTTCAGGGGTTGAACAACAATGTTTATTTTGTGTATGTATCATTTGTTTTCTCCTGTGTGAGCTTTAATGTGTGTTTGTGTTTTTGTACGAGTAAAGAGCGACAGTAGCTCTGTTGATAGAGCACTGGTCTTTGGACCTGATGGTTGTGGGTTTGAGCCCACCACGACCCATGTCACCTCCTACTGATGTCTGCTGTTGTTGTGTCCTCTTCTTCCCCTTTAATTGTCCATTTCTGGGTCTGGGGGTGGTGCTCAGAGCTGTACCCAGGTCTCACAGCCCCGGTCCCTGTGATCCTCTGCAGGGGGTGGGTCCTCAGGAAGATGGCTGCTCCTTCATTGAAGACCAGTGGGGGCGGGTCCCGGCTCAAAAGTGGCCAAAATAATGTGTGCTGACATGCTGCAATACCACCCCGGGCCGATGGGGGAAAACATCTTTACAGGATGGTCCAAAAGTTGGCTCTAGGCCCAAAGCTCCGTTCCACATGTGTGTCAATGCTGAGGGGGGTGTTTTGGACCAGTCTAGTTTAGTCGCTGTGGACTTTAGAAGTCACTCGTTTAAATGAATGGGACTCGTGCAGCTGATGCATGCACATATGTGTTTTTTCCACATTTTCCAGCCCCCGCGGCCATTTTGAAACTGCCCAAAGACCGCGGAAGTTGTGGCACTTTAGTTAAAATGGTGGAGAAAGGCGTGACTACGTGTGTTAATATTTACAGTCTCTGCTCCTGACTAGAACCAGGAAGTACCATCACATAAGTCCTGCTCCCAGGTCTCTGCACCTGTGGCTCAGAGAATAGACCATGGATCTATTATGATAACTGGATAGGGTATACTAGCTTGGAGCTGAAGAACCCAGGTGCTCGGGGGATTCTTGCAGTAGTGAGGACTAAACCAGACTAAACCAGACTAAATTGACGTGGGCTACACAGAATTTTTCACCATAGAACTCAATGTAAACTAAAACAGCTCGACCTCAGCTGACAGAGAACCTGACAGAGAACCTACAGCTTTCATAAAGATTGGATTTTGTGGGGATTTTAGTGTCCCTTGTCATCCTGAACTTTTTTTCCTCTTAAATCCTTCGGTTTTCTTTAAATCCACACTTTATTGCCACAAACTCTGCTCCTTTCCTTCCCGCTCTGACTCCGCTCTGCCACTGCTCTGATCAACAGCTCTGATTGGTCAACTGAGCCACTGTCGCCACTTAAATTGGTTTCTTGTTTCAAGGAGAATAAACAAAATTGAGATGAATAATAATGAGATTAAAGATAAATTATTGTATTAAAGGCGCTATACCCGTTTCTGCAATGTTTGAATGTTTAGCCCCGCCCCCAACTCGCTCACAGGCTTCTCATTTCCCCTACGCTCTCATAACACAGAGCCACCTAGTTTTATTTGTGATCTGATACATATGCTAACATTAGCATTAGCGCAACTTCTTGTAAGCTGTGCAACAATCACTGATGAAATGGCACTAAAGTAACGCACTGCTAACACAATATAAAAGTAAAAGAATACCGCTAGTTTCGCGTCCGAATGTATTAATTTAAAACCTTAGAATATATTCTAATATTTAATTATAATTTGTTATAGAGCTACTCAAAGCAGCGGCAGCAATTCTTCCGATAATTTTTCTTGATAACAAAACTCTTAAACCAATAATGACCGAAGCCCCAATGCAACCTCTGTTTGTAATTCAGGTGTGTAAAATACTGCCATTACTCCGCAAGTACAACAAGCTATCAGCACCTGTCACTACACACTCATCTGTGTAGAGAAGCCAACGGAGCTAGCGGAGCTAGCCACGCTCAATAAACAACTACATATCTATAAATCGACACCATTAAACTTCAATCGGACAGTATACATATACATCTTTAACACACATGCACAGATGATTTCAGAATTTGCTGTTAACGTTTTCATGACAAAAATACTGTTTCAATGTGACAAAAAGCGATTGCGAAAAACCCGGAAGTTACCATGAAACAACTAGCTAGCTTAGCTGTTACCTGCCTAGCACGTCCCGGTGAAACCTTTGGGAGCTAACTATTTTATTTGCAGTCATTAAATACATTTCGAATTACAAGGGTTGTCTAATATTTGTTAAAAAAATTTTATTCAATTATTTTGTTCATCATTTTTTATTTTAGAATTATATTCGAATTTTGAAGCCCTCGTGTTTAGCAGCGCTGTAGGGGCTAGAGGACGCAGGCTGTTCGCTGCTCGTTCTGTGAGCGGAGGAGAAAGAACGGCCCGCTCAGACTCTACTCAGCACTTTTCACTGCCTGTAATTCTTACACCGCTGAATCAATGACCTCAAGTTTTCAATTAAATGATGTATTATGATACAACTTGTATGTAGTAAAAAGCATTTTTATGAACTACTTAGAAAAAAAATCGGGTATAGCTTCTTTAATGACATTTGAGAAACACCCTTGTTTCCGTGGAAACCATCAAAGGTAGCAGACTGGATCTGAACCCCCTTGTTTCCACGGTGACCCTGTAAGTAGCAGACTGGATCTAGAACCTCTCGTCTCTATGGAAACCTTTATGACACGTACGTCTTGCAGTGGCTTATAGCTTCAGGTCCAGCATTCAGAAGAAATACACAGAAAGTTAGTCCAAAGTTTACTTTGAAATCAGTGTCACAGATCTCAGTAAGAATGAAGATGGAGCAATCTTTTGATGACTTCTATGATCAGATAGTCCCAGACTGTCCACGGGTCTTCACAACATATCGAAGTCCCATCTCTACAGAAGATGGATATGACCAACAGGAAGAGTGGTGGAGGAGGCCACAGGCTCCTAAAACACCAGAGAACAGCTTTAATATCCGCCCTCACGACCGGAGCTGCCGCAACGAAGAGAGAGAGAACGAATCCACAGACGGCGTCCCAGACACCGGGCGCCCCAAATATTTACCTGAGTCTCTGCTCAAATCTAAGCTCGAGGATCAGTCAGAGATTCAGAGTTTACTTTCCGACTCGAGCGGCCTCCACTCAGAATATTCCTTTTCGGAAAACACCACGATGACTCCAAAGGACACAGAGTGGGAATGGATGGTGTTCAAAACATCAAAGGAAGCCTTGACTCCAGAGACGGGGATGTCCACAGTGGATGTCCAGGGTCAAGAACCTTCCCAAATCAAGTTTCCTAAAATTGACAAAGACAAAAAGACAAAATTCAAGAACATGGAGAGGATGTACCAACAGTTACCTCCCAACTCGGCCTTTGATGTTGATGAGCCCATCAGTCCAGAGCCGGACTCCCCTCCTCCCCTTGACTGGGAATCAGTTATTGGAATAAGTCCTAAAACCTGTAAAAAGAGGGGGGTTAAAACCACAAAGTCAACTCTGAAATCACCAGAAACAAACCCTTCAAGACTGAAGGAAGTTCCAGTGGAACCAAAGAGTCTGGCAGAAGTCACTGCAGACGCCAGACTTGTTCTGGAGGCACTAGCACATTATGTGGGCGCCCTAAAAGTGGGTGAGGCCCAAGAGGCAAAGAGAAGCATGAACCAAGACTTTGATCATGCAGCCTCATCTATTGTTTCCCTCGTTCTCGACAAGTCTTGCACCAAAAAGACCAAAAGACAGGAGACCACTCATAAAATCAAGTCTTTTCTGGTCCTGTGTCGAGCTAAAACCAGACTCTACTCTGCATTGAGTCAACTGTGTCTCCAGATCTCAGGCACAAGGGACAGTTTGTCAGTGCTGGAGATGATGGCCGTCGTTTCTCCTCTTCTGCAGGAGCTGGTTTCAGACGACACAGAGACAGACCTTTATGAGCGGCTGTCTCAGGGTTTGAGTGCAGGAATATACCAAGAGCTGAAAGACCAGATTACTCGCACTGTTACTGAAAATCTGGCACAGCGGAAAGGACGCCGCAGCAGCTGCAGGAGACTCGCAGAGGCTCACATTGAGTCCGTCATGGAGGACATCAGCACATGGCTTTGTCTCCAACTGCAGCAGAAGGATAACCCTATCAAGACTAGTCTCCGAAAAATACGACGGATCGTAGCCTCAAAGACCGAGGACCAGGACCAGCAGGAAAACATCTGGACGAGTCCAGATCCAGGACTGAAGGAAGCAGCTGCGAGTGGAGCAGAGAGAGACGTGAAGAGCAGCTTCTCCTCACAGCACTTTGCAAACACACAGACTGACACTGTGCACTGGGGTGGGCTGCTGTATGAAGTGTCCTCTAAAGTCTTACGCTCCAAAAACATGGATGAGTTGACAGCTTTTGGGAAAGAGTTGACGGACGTGTTAGAGCAGGAGAAGTCGTCATGGAACATCCAGGTGGAGCTGAACAAAGACAGTGTGGAGACCATTGCACAGGCCGTGTACAAAGACCTGTGCAGAGGGAGAGGAAAGAGTGCGGTGAGTCAGAGCGCCCGGCTCCAGCCCGACTACAACATCCAGGTCCTCGAGAGCATCCGTCGACACGTGGAGAAGCCCTTGCAGAAGCGCACAGTGGGCTCAGTCTTCAGATCTGTGTGTAAGAGCTTCTGCTTTTGGAGCTAACCCCAACTTTTCTAAGCTCAGGAGCACAGCTGAGAGCTTAATACCAGATGTTTACTTTGCCTTTTGACTCCTCAGCGGAGCTCGGACAAACACCCTGAGTGTGCATTAAGTCCATCACTTTTCAGTTTTCCTTTGTTTTCTTCCCACGACGAGGGAGAAGCATGAATGAGTCCAATACAACATTCCTTTGCATTTGAGTGACACAGAGGCCAGAGCATGACCATCAAAGCTACAGTCATGAAGTCTGTTAGTGATATGATCAGCATGACGTCTGCATGGACTGAGTTTACTTTCTAAACGTGGATATTCTCTGTGCTCTTTCCTGACAGGCTGCGGCAGTGGCAGAGCTGAGATACAAGATCAATATCCAGGTTTGGGAAAGTCAATGCAGCTGTATGGGACGGATGAGGATCATATACTTTGTACTTTCATGCACTGTGGCTTTGCTCTTTGTGGTCAGTGGGACTCAAACAAACACAGATGCAGAAGTTTGATGGGACTTGTTGTCAGCTTTCCCCCTCGCAGAAGAAACACTCAGACACTGATGGTCCAAGGCTTCTCCTGATGGTCCCTAAAGACTTTAGCCATCGCTGCTATTAACGCAAAACCAAACTCTGTGAAATCAGAGCGGATCTATAATAATAACATAATGGATCTATAATAATAACATATGGATCTATAATAATAACATATGGATCTATAATAATAACATATGGATCTATAATAATAACATATGGATCTATAATAATAACATATGGATCTATAATAATAACATATGGATCTATAATAATAACATATGGATCTATAATAATAACATGGATCTATAATAATAACATATGGATCTATAATAATAACATGGATCTATAATAATAAGATATGATCTATAATAATAACATATGGATCTATAATAATAACATATGGATCTATAATAATAACATATGGATCTATAATAATAACATGGATCTATAATAATAACATATGGATCTATAATAATAACATATGGATCTATAATAATAACATATGGATCTATAATAATAACATGGATCTATAATAATAACATGGATCTATAATAATAACATATGAATCTATAATAATAACATATGGATCTATAATAATAACATATGGATCTATAATAATAACTTATGGATCTATAATAATAACATATGGACAGAACTAAGACCAATCTGTTGGCACCGGCGGCACGGTGGCTGAGTGGTTAGCACTCTCGCTTCTCAGCAAGAAGGTTCTGGGTTCCAATCCAGGTCAGAACAGGGCCTTTCTGAGTGGAGTTTGCATGTTCTCCCTGTGTCTGCGTAGGTTTCCTCCGGGTACTCCGGTTTCCCCTACCACTAAAAACGTGTACAATAGGTCTGTGCCTCCTGTACTGGCCCCTCCCATCTCTGTGTGGAGTCAGAGACTAATGTAAAGCTCTTTGAAAGGCCGGCGCTATATAAATAAACATTACTTACACTTTGAAACTGGATTTTGTATGTCCCTGTTTTTATCCTGAAAGGATTCAGGTTAGCTTTAGCAGTAGCATCCGAGTAGCACCGACTCAAACGACTTGCTTCAAATACTGTGGATACCTGCTCCTGGGGTCGCCCAAGACCCTCTTCAAGGCCGAGCTCGGAACATTCACAATGTTCTTTCTTTCATTTCCCTTTTCTTTCTCTGCAGTCGGGAAACCCTTTTATTATCTTTTCTACGTAGATTCATGTTTAAAAATCTGCTGTAATTCTTTGTTTGACTGTTTAGTTGTCATCTTTTTTTGTTTTATTACAACTGGGCTTTGTGTTTTGTTTATGGTGGTGCCCCCTATGGGTCAGTACATGTAAGCAGCAGGCGTACCTGTGCTTCTCTATGTGCCATTTTTCCAGCCGTATGGTTGGAAACATAATCTGTAAAAAGGCAGCTTAAGCGGAGGTTCAGGATGGTAGACTACCTACGTTATCACACCAGGCTTGACCACGCCTTACTCAGCCTGTCTTAATCAACTCCCCGCAGCCGTGTCAATCAAGCCAGCGTTTAAGAGCAAAGCAGAGCACAGCTCACCAAACGGACTTCAAGCTGCAATGGGTTGCTCTTCGTCACTTTGTTTACTCACGCCTCGCACATTGTTCGTCCTGCATGGTCGCGGCTCCTCTTCCACATCACATGTTGGGGGCTGTGCGCCATGGTCGCTGTGTCTCCACCGCGGCTCACCACGGGTCCTCTCCTGCGGACTCGCTGCCGCTCGCCTCCCCGTGGCCGCTGCTGCTCGCGGCCAGGCGATACTCCGCGCACCCTGCCGCTTCCATATCGGGAACGGGACTTCTGTCTGCCTGCCGCTGTCCACGCTTCTCCCTGCCTCCACTCACGGTACAGTGTCGGTTCCGTTGTTTTCCGCACTAACATGAACTGTACTGAACATCGGCGTGTCAGTTAATCCCGTCGAATTGGCTCGCAGGCTGACGTTTTACCATCTGCATTGGCATTTAGACCGTCCGTTTTCACCATGGACCGTACATTTTAACCACTGTGTTGGCCTTCTGGATGTCCGTTTTACTCATGGGCTGAACATTCTACACACTGCAGTGACCTTCAGGCTGTCAGTTGTAACAATGGACTATACATTTTATCATCTGCATTGGCCTTTGAGCTGTCTATTTTGACCGTGGACTGTAAGTTTTGCCCACTGCATTGTCTCCCGGCTGTCCGTGTCTGATGAGCTGCTCTGATTGGTCGGAGCGCGGCCGAGCCCCTCTGTGCTGTTTGTTTTGCCCAGTGCGTTGGCCTTCAGGCATGCTTCAACGGCCTCACTTCAACGCCACACTTCGACGCCCACACGCTTCAACGCCGACACGCTTCGCTGCCGCCACGTCGGTGGCCGCACGCTTCGACGACGCCACGTTGGTGGCCGCACGCTTCGACGCCGCCACGCTTTGACGACGCCACGCTTCAACGACTCCTCCACGTTTTGACGCTGCACGCTTCAACGACGCCGCACGCTTCAACTACGCCGCACGCTTCAACGACGCCGCACGCTTCAACGACGGCGCACGCTTTGACGGCGCACGCTTGACGCCGCACGCTTTGACGCCACACGCATCAACAACGCCACACGCATCAACGACGCCGCACGCATCAACGACGCCGCACGCATCAACGACGCCGCACGCATCAACGACGCCGCACGCTTTGACACCAGCAGCACGCTTCAACGACGCAGCACGTCGGTGGCCGCACGCTTCATCGCAGCACGTCGGTGGCCGCACGCTTCATCGCCGTACGTCGGTCTGCGCACGCTTCCACGCCGGTGGCCGCTGTTTGACGCCACGTGGGTGTCCGCCTCAAGTGTCCGCCTTAAACAAGTCTCTGGACATCAGTATTGCGGGTGCTGCCGTCACTGCCTCATCTACATCGGCATTAAATACATTCTCTAAAATCCACTTCGAGTTACACTGCTCCACCCTCATAAGAAGATCCTTAAAGGAGTATTGGCAATGGTCCTTGTTCTGTAGTTTAGGTCCTGGACGACTAGCCTGTCTGTCCGTGGAGTGGATCCCTCTCTCAATGTAGGGTCTTCCGAAGGTTTCTCACTTTTTTCCCCACGGGTTTTGTGAGTTTTCCTTGCCATGCAGGAGGGTCTGGACAGTTAGTGTCCAACTAGAAGGCCCATGGTGATTATCCAGGATACTTTAACATTCTACAACATGTATGGACATTTTATCAACATTTATATTTAATTACTCCTTAAACAATCCCTTGACGACCCTCTGGTCTGAACAAATTCAAAAACCGGGGCTCCCTGCATGTAACCTCTCTTCCTTTCTCTACATCCGCCACTCCTTCCGGATAGGAGGAGCCACTTGGGCTGCTGCCCTGGGACTCCCTCAATCATCTCTCCAGGAGCTCGGCCCCTGGTTCTCTACCACATTCATCCGTTCTGGCAGCCCAGCGCCTCCTCTCATTATAAGTACGTATGCATCTCCTGGTGGTGGCAACTCCTCACTCCAGCATGCCGCGCACTCGAGCCGAGCTCGTGCGCGTGCCAACGCCTAGCGCTAGAGCCGAGCTCGCCACAGCCGGGGCCTAAGCTCCAAACCAATAAACAAACTCAATCCATAAAATAAACAACTCTTAAACGCATCTCGTCTCTTGTAGTCTCTCCAGGTTGAAATGCAGCTTAAGCGGAGGTTCAGGATGGTAGACTACCTACGTTATCACACCAGGCTTGACCACGCCTTACTCAGCCTGTCTTAATCAACTCCCCGCAGCCGTGTCAATCAAGCCAGCGTTTAAGAGCAAAGCAGAGCACAGCTCACCAAACGGACTTCAAGCTGCAATGGGTTGCTCTTCGTCACTTTGTTTACTCACGCCTCGCACATTGTTCGTCCTGCATGGTCGCGGCTCCTCTTCCACATCACATGTTGGGGGCTGTGCGCCATGGTCGCTGTGTCTCCACCGCGGCTCACCGCGGGTCCTCTTCTGCGGACTCGCTGCCGCTCGCCTCCCCGTGGCCGCTGCTGCTTGCAGCCAGGCGATACTCCGCGCACCCTGCCACTTCCATATCGGGAACGGGACTTCTGTCTGCCTGCCGCTGTCCACGCTTCTCCCTGCCTCCACTCACGGTACAGTGTCGGTTCCGTTGTTTTCCGCACTAACATGAACTGTACTGAACATCGGCGTGTCAGTTAATCCCGTCGAATTGGCTCGCAGGCTGACGTTTTACCATCTGCATTGGCATTTAGACCGTCCGTTTTCACCATGGACCGTACATTTTAACCACTGTGTTGGCCTTCTGGATGTCCGTTTTACTCATGGGCTGAACATTCTACACACTGCAGTGACCTTCAGGCTGTCAGTTGTAACAATGGACTATACATTTTATCATCTGCATTGGCCTTTGAGCTGTCTATTTTGACTGTGGACTGTAAGTTTTGCCCACTGCATTGTCTCCCGGCTGTCCGTGTCTGATGAGCTGCTCTGATTGGTCGGAGCGCGGCCGAGCCCCTCTGTGC